GACGCGAGGAAGCTGACATGGCAGTATCGCATGTGCGCGATGGGAGAAGAGAGGTTGCCGAGAGTAGCCTGGGAGGCGAAGCGGGCAAACAAAAAGAGGGGTAGACAACCCACGGAATGGGTCAAGGTTGTAGAGGACGTATGGAAGGGGCTCGACATCGACGAAGATGAAACGCCGGAGGCTGAGGGTCTACAGGGGTTCAAGGAGAAGATATCTGTTGCTTGTGCCGAGAGAGAACAGAATCTAAAGAAAGAAACCAAGGATAAGGAGGGTCTAGAAATGTGCAGAATGTTGGAAGGAAGGAATGGGTTCAAGGATTACCTTCATGGACCAATGGATGCAGGAACAAAGCTTAAGGTCAAATTCAGGACCGGGGACATCGGCCTTCGGGAACGTCGACGAAGACATAGGACGGTAGACGAAGACGACTATTAGTTCAAGTGTCATTGCGGCTTCAAATGCGAAGACCGTGTTCATGTAGGCGCGGAATGTCCGTTGTACAAGGAGAGGGAAGTGTATGTGACTGAGGTGGGAAAAATAGATGGGACGTGCAGGGAGATGTTTGAGGCATNACTACCTACATGGACCAATGGATGCAGGAACAAAGCTTAAGGTCTAATTCAGGACCGGGGACGTCGGCCTTCGGGAACGTCGACGAAGACATAGGACGGTAGACGAAGACGACTATTAGTTCAAGTGTCATTGCGGCTTCAAATGCGAAGACCGTGTTCATGTAGGCGCGGAATGTCCGTTGTACAAGGAGAGGGAAGTGTATGTGACTGAGCTGGGTAAAATACAAAGGAGGTACAGGGAGATGTTTGAGGCATGGAATAGAGCGGAAAGGACAGTAGCTGTACTGGGGCATAGGAGGTGGGTTGAAAAAGCGGGAAGGGATATCGTTAGGATAGACAGAATAGGGAAGAGATTTTTGAGCCACCTTTTGCAAAGTAGAAAGGGACGATTGGTCATCGGTGATCGGTCCTNGAAGACGACGAGTTCAAATGTGATTGCGGCTTCAAATGCGAAGACCGTGTTCATGTAGGCGCGGAATGTCCGTTGTACAAGGAGAGGGAAGTGTATGTGACTGAGCTGGGTAAAATACAAAGGAGGTACAGGGAGATGTTTGAGGCATGGAATAGAGCGGAAAGGACAGTAGCTGTACTGGGGCATAGGAGGTGGGTTGAAAANCCCCCCCCCCCCCTTCCCGTCTTCTGCTCGCCGCATTCGTCTCTGTCGCCCCCCTCCCCCCGTGTCCCACCTCCACTCCCGTTTCGCTTTCATTTTTTTTTTGGGTCGTTGCGTGTCCTGTTTTCTTCCGTTTTTTTGTTTTGTTCGCCACGGTTTCGACGACACGCACCAAAACCACTTGATGGCGATCAGGCGAGTCGGTGGGGCTGTGGGCGGGTGCATACAGCTCCGACGTCCGGCGCCTGGCGCCCAGCATCAAGCATCCGAGTGCTTACGACGATGTGCAGACTCACAGAGGAGATGCCCAGCACATGTATGTGCACCCCTCCAAGTCGGGAAATGATGGTGGAAGTGGCGTCGCCCCACCCGGCAACTTTGATCCTTTCGCGAGCGACCAGTACATCTTCCAGGGAGGCGAGACGACACCGCGCTTCTTCGCACCCTTCGGCATTGCTGGCAACGCCCATAGTTCAGGATTGTCTTCCTACGGTGAGATGAAGGGGAGGAGACGGGGATTGTCCCGAGGGGGGGGGAACGAAGTAGCACAACATCAGAGGCGTGCGCTCGCCAAGCTGGCTCGGCCGGGGGTTCGCTCTCCCAGCAACAGCACTGACGACGACGAGAAGGCCGACTCGACAGTAGAAGAGACAGGGCGGGATGTTTTACACAAAAGCGCCGACGTTCCAATCTAGTGCTCTGTGTGCGTGTGTTGTGTTCTCCGTTTGTGTGCTCTCTCCCCCGCCCCACCCGGCCATCTGTAGACGGCGAGCTCGAAGACTCGGACACCCCTTGCGTCGCCACCCTGCCCAGCACCTTCCGGCTTGAGCGGACTAACTTGGTGGTCACTTCTCCCTTGATGGAGCAGTTGCTCTCCGTCGACTCGCTCCTAGACGCCCTCCGGGCTGCTCTGACCGATGCGGGTGTGGACGTCCTCGACTTTAAGCCTGCTCACTGCGTGGTGAGTGGTGTTGCAGCTGCTGCGTGGACGCTATTCGACAGTATAGCAGCTGAACGTGTTTTTTTTGCTGCTGCTACTAAGGCTGGTGTTCCCTTTTGCTGTATGGTCTTGGTTTGTGCAGAATTGGATTTTTTTTTTCCGCGATTTGCACTTGTGTTTTCTTGTTTTCGGGAAACAACGGCAGAGCGCCACCTTGTCTCTACCAACAGGCCTTGCGAGAGGGACAATTGTGTGCGTTCAGAGAGGCAGCTGCCTGTAAAGCGTGTAAACCCATCGCAGATTTTCCCCCGCTCACACCACCGCCTTCCTGCTTTGTCCTTGCAACGATTCACCGCAACAATAAACAATGCCACCGAAAGCTGGAGTGCTCCTACCACGTGGGCAATCGTTTCCTCAGCCTGTTCATCAGGGTGTTCAAGGCTCCTGACCGCGCCTCCGGCCAGCTATTTGACAATAGCAGCGTTGGCAACAACAACAACGACGACGGCGCCGAGCAGACGCCCTACCTGGTGGAGGCGCAGCTCCGCGAGGGAGACCGGCTGCACTTCTCGGCCCTTTTCCGGGAGATTTTGCGTGCTTTCATGGTGCGTCGTCGAAGTTTTTTTTTTTTTTCGTCCATGCCTCATTCTTGTCTCGCTGTCCTCCTGGCAAGATGCAAGTCTGTCTCCTGTCCGTAGGCTGTGGTTGGTGGCATGTCTTGCATTGCGGGGAGGTGTGTCAACACTGCGTTGTTATCTTGAACAAACGATGATGCTCATGATTGGGGCGTCGACTAGGCATGACGCGCGCCCCCGCCCCCACCCCCCCCGCCCCCCGCAGAACCAGGAAGGCGTCAACCTGGTAGGAACGTTCCGCTACAAGCCCCGCACCTACCCGGCCACCGGAGAGGGCCTCGCCCTCGAACAGGTTAACATGGCGCCATCTCGCAACAGCATCCGTCTCCTCGCAGAGCGCGGAGAGGCCACCAAGACCGGGGGTTCTCTCCCCGTGCCGGCCAGCATGGCCAGGCCCCAGGTCTCTTCCTCCTCCCCCGAGCTGGACTCGGACATGATGGACGACGTCGTGCTTCTGGCGGACATGCTCTCTGGCAGCTACCTGGACGTGCAGGCGGACGCGGCTGCGGCTGTCGCTGGCCTCACCACGGATGGTAGGGAAAGAAAATAATCGTTGTTGTCGATGCTGTGTGTGGTCAACGTGCTTTTGTTGTTCATGCCCGGTGTTGCGTTGGTTTCGTTATTTGTCGGTTGTGATGATTTTTTTTTTTTGCTAGCTTTTGAGCGTGTTTTTCTTGCCTTGGAAGATCACGCACGCTCCTACAACACACACGCTCGTTGTCCGCGTCGTTCATACCGCTAAGTGAGACTAACTACCCCCCTCTCTGCCGTTTCCCTCCACACAGTCAAGCTCCTGGAACAGCTGTCGAGGGGCGCGGCCGCCAACGCCGCCAACGCCATCGCCCACGCGGCCGCCCGCCTCCTAGTGGAAACCCGCCACAGGCCCGCCCGCAGGCAGGCGGCCGTGGCCGTGGCCAACCTGACGAAGACCCCCCAGCTACGCGCGGCGCTCCTTGCCTCTGACCCCCCTGCGGGGGGTGGGGGGTTCCGCAGCAGGGTCTCATCGACGGACGACCACCACGCCCAGCAGCGCCGGTTGGTGGAGTCGCTTGTGGTGCTGTCCATGGGGCGCGTCGACGGGAGCGCGGCCAGGAAGAGTGAGGAGGAGATCGGGATGCGTCGGGAGTGCATGCGCGCCCTTGTGGGGCTGGCCGAGAGTCGCGTCGTGAGGGATATGGTGAGAGAAGGAAGTAAGGCAAGAACAGCTGACTGCGCTCGGGTCTGTTTTCGAAGTCTGGTCAGGAAGGCAAACACAACGACTGATAGCTGTCCTTGTGTTCTGTATACAGTTTTTCAGGTCGGGTCAGAAAGCTTGTCTTGTATGTCGCAAGGTTAAATATTTTCGAACACGCCCATTGTCGTAATTTCCTACCCCAGTTCACGCCTCGTTGGTGCTCCCCTCTCCCCTCGTCTTGTTCGTCTCTGCAGCCCGCGATGAGGCTCCTCCTGTCAACCGATCCCAGCGGGAGGGGGGCCAAAGACGCCACGCTCACGAAACGCCTCGAGGAGTGCAGGGAAATCCTCCGCAGCCACGCTTGAGTCGCGGTTCGTCAGTCGGAAGGACGTTCCCCTTCCCCGAGCTGTCGTTTCTCGTCAGCCTCTGATTTTGACATCTCCTCAAACAAAGAGGGATTGATGATATTTGCGTGTGGATCAGGACAAGATTCGGGGGCGTCCGTTGCCGGTCCTGTCATTGGCAAGCGCTAAGAGAGAGGTTCATACGGCAAATCAGGGCGCCTACCAGGGCGCCTGGGCTGCCCACATCGTTTTCTCCCCTGTGTAATGAGTACTCTATTTTGTAGAATAGCTTCTCTTCTTTTCCCTCTCGCGCCCTGTCGAGTAAATACTGCATTGTTAGAGGGGGGCGCAAATGTTGGTTGCGCAGTGAGAACCAGTATTTGTTTTTCTTGATTTTGCTGTTGGGGTAAGAGAGCGTTCGCGGTTCAGTTTGGCTGGCCCTCCCTCCCGCGAGTGCCCGAGAGGAGACGATTTGGTGTGTAGGAGCAGCACACGCGGTGGGGAACCTCTTCTGTGTTTGTTATAATCGCACATGTAAATTCGGTGCCTGTTTTCGGCATGTTTGGCTTTTGAGGCTGTCACGTGGAGGTGATCGCGGCCTGTGCTTATCCACGTCTGCCGTCTGTATTTGATTTCTGGAGCTCTTCCATATAAGGGTGAATGAATTGTACGCGTCGTCATCACTTTCTCGGTGTAGGTAGTTATTTCTGTTGACCGGGTGTTGCTGTTCTTTTTTTTTTTTTGAGTTGAATGCTTCTGTGTCGGGTGTTGCTGCGTAAAATCGGTGATACACAACTACCATAGATTTTTCCTCGAGGTCTGGTGGTAAGGGCTATGCGGTAGTGTTTGGTGCCCTTCTGTGTTGTAGCCTCTTCGCTGGGCAACGTTCTTGGCGGCGTGAGGAGAAACGTGTGGCAGCTATAAATAAGCGCGAGGGGAGGGGCGTAGTGCTTGCCCTCAGTGGAGGGGCATCGCCTCCCCCTCGGTTTATGGAGTTGCAGCAGGGTGTTCACGACTTGTGGAGGCATTTTGCGGAGGGCCATTATTGGAGATAGGAAGACAAACGGCGGATGGGGGGGGGGTCTATGCATCGTGTGTGCCTATGACGGCGCCCCCGTTCCTTATGCCCGGCGACCGTTGTGAGGCGAATCCTGCTATACCTAGTATTTGGTTGTTGTCTATCCTTTCGGGGGTGCGTGCGGAATGCGATACTTGTCGTTCGCCGGAACGCATTCCGACACGAACACACACCAGGAGACCACAACCAACACAGAGGGGACGAGTGACGAGGAGAGGAAAAGAACACAGCACGGTTCGCCTCCCGTCGATGACCCCGTGGTTGTTAGCCAGACGACCGTCGGTGCACACATCGCGTGGCAGTCATGTTTCCGGTCTCCGCTTTCTGCGTCCTTCGCCGTGGGTGAAGTAAGGAAATACAGGAGGCGTCCTGCGTGTCTCGATTGTTATGTTGGGGCATGGTGTTGTTCCCGCTGTTTGGTATCCAGTGACTTGCAAGTCGGACTCCCCAGCGGCGGCGCAGTTGATTCTCGCAATCGTGCCCCTGGTGCCGTTGCCGCTGTGGAGTGTTGGGGACGCTGTAGATTGGATGACGGGAGGCATGCATGTGGAGGTGTTGGGGGGGGGGGGCGGCGACGAGATGCGGGTGATGTACACCGATGTGGCGGACGCTGCCTCTTGCACGAGAAGAGGTCAGCTGCCACGCGCGCGGTTGGCACTACCTACTCACGCCGTCGTCGAAAACCCTTGTGTCGGTTACGATTGGTTAGGTGCATGCATGCCGCACTACTACATGAGGCGGCGTCTGGTACACGTGGGTTCTTGGTGGGCTTCGGGGGGGAGGGTAGAGGCTGGCGTTTGATTTTCATTTTGTTGTCGGGCTCGCGTGCATATTCTTTTCATCCATTTTTCATCCATTTGTGCGTGTTTGTTTCCAAATCTTGGTGTCGGCGGGGCTTCTGGTGATTTTGGCGTGCTGGGTTGGACTTGACATACGCAGCGGTGAGGACCTGTCGCTACCACAACAACGTTATTTTTCTTTTTTGTTCTTTGGGCGTCTTTGTCGCGTGCTGTGTTGCTGGGAGGGAGGGAGAGACGGAAAATCAGCTCTTGGGTTTCACTTTCGTCGCGTGTCTCTCTCTCTCTCACCGTGGGGAGGGGGGG